AAACATTCTTTTTCCAGTTGTGGGGCTTGGGGTCAGATCCAGGACCTCTCCAGCACCAGGTAAGTCTGCACAACTGACTTAGCCGCCCAGCTGTTTTCCATTTACTGTCTGAGGACTACGCCAAGAGGCCCTCACAGGAAAGAAGTACTTTTGAAAAGAAAATGTTGGTGATTTTGCACAGCGGGGGACTTAGGAGATGGACCTGTTTCCTTAGAGTACTTGTCATTTGCTTGTTGCAAACAAGAATGCAGAAGTTAAGGGATGCAGGCAGGAAGAACACACTGCTGGAGATGTAATAGGTTGTCAGTCTCCAGGATGCTCAGATTTTGTAGGCACCAGGCCGCCTCTCCTCTTGAAGGGCATTAACCTTCCGAGACCACTGGCTGGCAGTAGTGAGGGCTCTTCACCCTAGAACTGTAGTGATTTCCCTCTCCCCATCACGCGCAGTCTCATGCAGAAAAATCACTATATTTGCACGAGTGCCATGATACACAGCGCCTGAGCGTCACAGGTCTGCAGATGTCCCGTCTATGTATGTGACGCTATCACATACGGGGCGTAGGGTGACTGAACCCATGGACTGTCTGTCTCCAGACTGATTGCTTCACTGCCAAATGAAACGTAGGTAGTGTGGGGAACAGAATTCCCTCATCAAAGGAAAACAGGATAACTTATGTAGGGCATGCAGCATGGAGTGCTTGGTAAGCACTGGTTATTGCTGGGGACCACATGTGTCTTCTCAAAGAGGGGTCACAAGATGAATTTCACAAGCGGGACTTTGCATCTGAGCCAGCACACACACACACACACACACACACACACACACACACACACACACGACTGCAGATAATGAACATGCCTAAATCATGTTGAAGAGACGAACTGGGCTGTGCAGTGAAGGTTTAAATCCAGAGGTCCATTTCTCCAGGGCTCAAGCCACATCTGCCTGCTTCCTTGTGGCCTGGCCATGGTTATACATGGAGGAAACAGAAGGTCCCATAGAGGAATGTACAGGCATCTTTCTGGTTCTGTTTCAGAAGGGAAATGCTGATTCACATCTAGAAATTGATTTTAAGACCCAAGATAAGCAGTTTGAAAATACTATGGTGTATGAAAACACTAACAAAGTTTTTTTAAAAAAGCTAAAAAGACATGCTACTTTATTTCAGAGACTTTGGCATGGTATTGGAACTATATGAAGCATTCATTAAATTTATCTGAGCATCCCCATCACCTTGTGGGATGGCCAGTGTCCTTCTAGACTGATAATATCTTCAAGTCAAAAATACCTTAGGGCTATTTTAACCTAATTCTAATAAATCCCAACACATTCAACAATTCCTAAATAACTGACTGAAAGATTGTCCCTCCCTCAGTGACTGGGACCCCGATGACTCTCAGCTCTCCCCTGCAGAGGGGCTCGTAGGCCTCTGGGTGAGGGTTACTCATTCAAGAAATGTGAGAGGCAAGGTCTTGTGAAATCATCTCATTATAAAGTGTGCTTTCTCCACCACCAAAATAACAGTTTTAATCAAAGAGAATTAGTTTAAAAACGGTAGCCATCCAGTAGAAGCTGAATCAAATCCCACTTTACTAAAGATGATAGTAGGCAGTATTTTAAGTGGATTTGGTAAACCCCACAGGCGGTGTGGAGCAAGGGCGGGGGAGAGGTGTCTAGATTGAAGTCCCAGAGAAAGAAGCCAGATATGAAGGGCTGTCACATGAAGACTTCAGCCTTCAATTGTCCCCGGAGTAAGCTGTTTGTCGCTTTTCTCAGGGATGAGAGGAGAGGAACAGTCAGGCGGTTGCCCTCCTTTCTCTATACCTCTTCCCCTCGGCTTTAAACTTATCAAGTGCAGAAACCAACACCGAGAATGAATGAGATCCACAGTGTGCACAAGAGCAAATGATGCTTCTGCGTGAGCACCCACCCACGTGCTCCTGTGTGAGTACCCACCCACGTGCTCCTGTGTGAGCACCCACCCACGTGCTCCTCCTGTGTGAGCACCCGCCCACGTGCTCCTCCTGTGTGAGCACCCGCCCACGTGCTCCTCCTGTGTGAGCACCCGCCCACGTGCTCCTGAGTGAGCACCCACTCAAATGCTCCTATGTGAGCACCCACCCAAACACGGTGCCAACACCCAGGAGTGATGCTTATTTTTGTAACAGTCAGAGACAGGAATTTAAAAAGCCAACTGTTTTTAGAGTAGGAATGAACGCCAGCACAAATCCAAGTGCTTTTTCATAAGGCAGGATTCCCAAGTTAAATCTTAATTCCTGGCAGTATAATGCAAATTTCTACTTCTCCCTAATTAAGGGATAATTGTCATCAAAATGTATCTCTATCAGAAATGAGTGGTGGGAATTCAGAGTTGCACTACCTAATATGGTAGCCACTATGCCTATGTGGCAATTTAAATTAATTAAACTTAAATAAAATTTAAAATCTGTTCCACAATTGTACTGGCCACGTTTCAACAGCCACACATGAATTGTGGTTATAAGACAGACTTATAGAATATTCCCATCCGTGTGGAAAGTTATACTGGGTAGTACTGATCTCGACAGGGTTATATATAAAAAGGAAACTGTTCATTTCTAACCCAGTAGGAGAGCTCCAAACCTTGCCTAATCTACTAGAGCTGGCATGACCCAGGGAACACCCAGAATTTCCCATCATCTCATATCGTTCCTATTGTCCCATCTGAACTCTCTGTGTTGAGTATTTCCACTTTGGGCTGGGGAGACGGCTCAGCCTATAAAGTGTTTGGCGGGCAAGCCATGGGACCTGGGTTTGAATGCTCTAGTGCTCATGAAAAAGGCTGAGCATGGTGCTTGGTACCTACAACCCAAGCCAGGCTGACAGAAAGGGAGGTAGTAGACTTCTGAAGCTCATTGGTCCAGACAACCTGGTACAATCAAGGAGTTTCAAGTTTGGTGAGAAACTATCTCAAAAAACAACCGTGGCGAGATTAAGGAAAGACATGCAACATTGACCGCTAGCCTACACACACACACACACACACACACACACGTATGCACATGTGCACACCACACTCCTACCCAAGACCACACAACAGTATGATAATGATAGTCACGTGGGCCTGACTAGAGCCTCACTCCTACTAAGTCCTGAGGCCAACGTCACAGGTTCTTTTTAGGAAGAGGAAGACTGCCAACCAGGTAGTGCATCATCTTCTCAGTATTGTTCTGCATAATTGGCCACTGAAACGATCCCAAAGGGCCAGATTACAGCGACATGCATTCCCTCTCTCAGGGCTCCAGACTGGCCACTGGACTACAGAGGTACTGGCCACAAGGAAAGAGTTTGGCAGTCACAAAGCAACACAGGTGAACACAGTCCTGCCAGCAGGCCGGAGCAGAGACCAGCAGGAAGCATCATCATGTTCATGAAAAACGATGACCCTGCAAAACAAACCGCCCTCCTCACAAAGCGTCGATGAGAAACACATGGATTAAGCAACTGCTATCAAGATATTATAATGCAAATTTAGACAAGCCAAAGAAGTGTCATTCAGCTAACTGCAGACTATAAACATGCATTTTTCAAATAGTTTAAGTTTGCTCAATGTCAATTTACTATGTTCAGTTTCTGAGCTTCCAACTTGGGAGGCTTGCAAAACATTTAAGCAATTTATACATCAAGGACAAATCATTAAGATCCCCATGCTCATGCCGTGAAGATTAAATTCACACTTCTAGTTCATTCAGAGACGGCAGCTGCTAGGTGTGGCGGGGCACGCCTTTAATCCCAGTATTTAGGAGGCAGAGGCAGGTGGATCTCTGTGAGTTTGAGGCCAGCCTGGTCTACAGAGTAAGTTTCAGGAATCCAACGCTACATAAGAGAGACCTTGTATGTGTGGGAGGAGACAGAGACAGAGAGAGAAAGATAGATGAGGGGGGGGGCAGGGAAGGAGATAAAGACAGACAGACACAGAGAAACAAGAGACAGAGAAAGATAGATGGGGGGAGGGAAGAAGCTAGAGACAGACAGACAGACAGACACAGAGAGACAGAGACAGAGCGAGACACATGCATGAAGGGACGGAGAGACAGCTACAGTTAATGTTAGAAGTAAGATCCTTTCTGGGACACATGTAAGAAAAAGTTAGGTATCTGGTGCATTAAAGTTGAGACTGTAAAATTACTCACTCTGCATTTATTACATGTATGTGCCTAACGGTTCACCCTCAACATGGGAAACGTTAAGTGGGTCAGCTTATTACTGCAACCATGGCTTTATACATTCACATTCGCCTCCCTTTTTATTAACTGCAGCCCAGAATGGAGCTACAGTCCTGCATTATTAAAATCTGTCTTCGATTCAAGCAGAGAACTGGAGAAGCAGAAACTAATATTGCCCTTTCGGCTGTGTTACTGTAATAGATCTAAGAACTGCTTTATTCTGCCCTGCTTTTTCAATATGCCAGTGTATTTCGGTTCCTTAACAGGACCACACATACAGGAGGTCGGCGTGAGATCGCCCAGGGAGATCGGCTGGCTTCCTTTCCACCTGGGCTGTGTTCTCACACTGGCAATCAGAACCCTGGCCCAGCCCTGAAAGACTTGGCCATAATAACCGCAACCGAAAGACCAGCAAAGTGCTTAGGGTATAATAAAGTGTCACGAGGGTAGGGGTGAATGGAGAGGGATGAACGGGGTGGGGTAGGGGGGGCGAAGGCACATGGGTTTCAACTGGGAAACCCCTCATTCTCCCTTGATTCATTTCAGGAGGGGAAAACCATTCTCTCAGTGAAGGCTCTCTCCATAACCCGAGGCTGACGACTTTTTAAAATTATTATGACCACGGACAACCAGAGCTGCCTAGTGCCCGGCGACCGGCACCCCTGCCCACACTCAGTCCCAAATCCCCGATTCTTCCCAGGAACGCGCTCCCAGCGGGGCACCGCAAGTTAGCGCCCGGGGTCGGCTCAGCTCTGCCGCTTTCTCCCGGTCCCCACCCGGGAGCGGCCGCGGAGATGGGACACCTGTCACCGGGCCGGGTGGGGGCCGCGGGCGGCACTGCGGCGGCGGGGAGCGGGACGGGCGAGCCGCGGAGCCGCACCGCCTGCCTCGGGCTCGGGAGCACACGCTCGGGGGCTGGGGAGGCAGTGCCACCGCCCGGGTGGTGTCTCCGCGGGGACCCGGAGCCGAACGAGCCGGGCAGCGGGGCTGAGGGACGGAGGAGGACGCCGCGCCTACCTGCTCCGGGCGGCAGCGGCTCGCGGGCCGTGACCTGCGGCGGCGGCGGCGGCGGCGGTGGCGCGGTGGTGGCAGCGGCGGCAGTCGCGGCGGGGAGGGCGCTTCCTTCAGGAAGAGGTGGGATCTGCCCGCCCGCCCCCTCCCGCCGCAGCGCGGCCGGTCCCCGACTTACTCCGGGGTCCCCGCTGCGGGGCCTCGGGTGGACGGCGGAGCCCCGCGGCCCCGGCTTCTACCTCCCCCAGTCCCCGGGTGCCTCCAGTCATCCGGGGCCGCGGCCGGGGTGGACGGTCCAACAGCTTCCTTCCAAAGCCTAGGTAGACGCGTTTGCCTGGCGCTCCTCACCCAACAAAAGGCAGAACGGAATCCGGGATCCTCCGCCTGCTGGTTATTTATTCCTGACCTGTTGTAACCTTCCTGCTGGCTCCTTTCTGTCCACACACCTAGGGCTTTGCACACAGCAGCTAGGATTCATTTTCAGGCCCGCCAGCCCTGGGTAGTTCTCTGTCACCCGCTGCCCTCCCGTGGCTTTTCTTTCGTCTTACTGAAGGGACACAGGGCCAACTTCTGACCCTGACAATGAACGGAGGACTTCAAGGCCGCGCTCCTACAGCCAGCTCACTCATCTAAATCCCTTGTGTCCTGGCCTAGTGTCATAAAACTGTATTCATCAGCATTTTTGTGGCAGCCCCCACCCAAACCCCAACTTCTGCGGTCTCACTCTCACTGACCCCTAAGCACCATAGCCCAGTGCCATTTTAATCTCAGATTCATAGCTAACTTACTTTACCGGCCTGCTATGTATGGTAGGGTCCCCTAGGTCAACTTGCCACACCCATCTATTTAAAGCCATTGCCTCAGAGTACAAATTTGTAAGGTCTCTCCCCAATTCAACCTGTTCAAATTCTCCACCACTGGCTTATAGTTATCCACATACGTGTTGATTTCTGGTCACCGTTTTTGTTCTGACGCTGGGCTGTTAGGTTTTTGAGGACTTATGCATGACTTTCTGTTTAGCATACATTAAGAAATGGGGCTATTATTTCGTCAATTAAGGCAGCAAAGCAAAAGTTAATTCTGGCGTAGAGTCAACGGTGCTGGAGTTTTTCTGAAGACTTGTCTGTGGTTTCTTCAGACTCCTGTGAGTCCCCCAAAGTTAAGAATTGCCTGAGGCCCACCATGAACCCCAGCTCTGAAAATTCTACCCCTACTCCCTGTCCCCTTGTTTGTTTGAGACAGAGGTAGCCTGTGTTGCCCAGGCTGGCATGTTGACACCAGAGGGCCCTTCTGCAGAAGGCCATTAAGACTGCATTTTGATCACGAGTATATAGGATATGCATAAAAAAATCATTGATTCATGTTGCTGCTGGGGGTCATGACCATGGTGGGTTGGGGTGGGGAACGTTATTCAAATGCTGATGGGTACATTTTTATGACTGCCTGACCAAGACGAGAGAGGAGAAGAGCAAGGTGGCCCTGGAGAGCAGGTTTTTAGCATCCTTGAGGTTTTCTCCCTCCTCAGTCTCCCAAGCACTGAGGTTTCAGGTGCTTCTGCCTCTCTCCTTCCTAAGTCGACTGGACAAGGACTCTGGCTAGACTTCTTCCCACTCATCTTCTAAAAACGGTTTGGTTTTGTGTATACTAGAGTGCTGCTGTTCGGGTGTGTGCACTTGAGGGCAGCTGCCTTTGGAGCCCACAGGCGTCCGGCCAAACTCTGGGAACTAGAGTTATGGATGGTTGTGAACCACCCAATGTGGGTGCCGGGACTGAACTTGGGTTCTCTACTAGAGCAGCACATACTCTTAACTACTAAGACTTCTCTCCAGTTCCTTTAATTTATTCTTCTGCGTGTGTGTGTGTGTGTGTGTGTGTGTGTGTGTGGTGTTTGAGTGTGTGTGGTGTTTGAGACAAAGTCTCACACAACCTAGACTGGGCTAGGACTCACTGTCTTATGTAGTAAGGCTGGCCTTGAACTCCTGCCTCCACCTCCTGAGTGGTAGGATTCTGGCCAGCTTTGTTTTTGTCTTTGGAGAGGGTTTGTGTCGTGGTTACTATTGCTTGTCAATCCCAAAGAATCTAGAGTTACCTATGAGACCAACCTCTGGGCATGCCTGTGAGAGATTTCCTAGACTAGCTTATTCTCCAGATATGTCTGTAGGAAGTCTCTGGATTAAGTTGATTGACGGAACATGGCTCCATTCCATGGGCTGGAGTCCTGAACCGAATAGAAGGAGAAAGAGTGAGCTGGGCACTATCATTTATCCCCTTCTATTTCCCAACCACAGATGCAATGAAGCTGTCTAGCTCAAGCTCCTGCTCCTGCTGTCACAACTCCTCAGGTGATCCGCTCTACCCTGGAACCCTGAAACACAGTCAACCTTCTCTTCCTTAAGCTACTTTGTCTCCTATTTTGTTGCAACAAGGTGAAAAGTAACTACCAGTCCTGTTGTGTGGCTGATAGGGGCAAAAAACAGTTCACTAACCAGCTGAAGCAAGGATTCTAAGTTGGGTTTGGTAAAACTGAGTTTTTCTTCGGGTTACTTACAGAGCTTGGGTGAGGAATTGCTTACAGGGGCAAGAACTACTCAAAGGCAGTTGCGTCACCAAAAGATCCATTCCAGCGTGGTCAACACAGACACTGCATTTTGATTGCAGTAGGAGACCCCAGGCTGCAATGGGAACCAGTGACCAGAAGCAAAACATGAAAACCTCCAGTTATACCCCATCTTCGTCACGTTACCTCCACAGCCATGAAATATTCTCAAAGTGAGGAGGGGACTGAGATGAGGGCTAAACTGAGAACCCTTCTCAGTTTTCTGGGCTTCCCTCTGATTGGTTTCTGCCTTACACTTATTTTTCATACATACAGCTAACCAGTCAGGGCCTTCCTAAACCTACTAAAAGGCTCTAGACCCAGCCTCTTTGATGGCAAGCACTTTCTTTTTTTAAATGAACATTATTAAAAAAATAAAAACTTTCAAATAAACAAAAAGACCACATCAAAATTAACCAAATACAAACTCTATACATCTTAATAAACTTATATAGATCAGGATAGGCATTCAAAATAAAGGCTGTATAGGTTCACATTAAAACTTACATTTTCATTATTGAATATATTTTATGCCTTTATCCACCACCAAGGAGGAAATGTGGGCAATGGACAGGGGTTATGGAAGAGGATATAATTGTTTTCCTCCTTCTCACGCTGCCACGGAGTTCCTGGTTTTGGTGGTGGACATTTTCCAGTCTCCTGCTGCGGCATTGTGACCCATCTACAGCTTTCTTTTTCTCTTTGGCTTAAAAAACCCTTGTTCCGCTCACTCCTTTTGCTTTCTCATTCTTATTAGTCAGGAGACAAGAAGTAGGCAGAGAAGGAAGTCTGCAGCGACTCCCTGGACAGAGAGTGGGTTCCCCCTTCCCAGCCATTGCTCTTTCTGGTTATTACATTGTTATTCCTTGGGGGCGGGGCCTGTGACTCTTGTTACTGCTTTCTCACAGTTGTAAATTGAGTTTACTTTCGGCCTCTTGTGAACTTCCCTGTCCCTCCAGCTTGTGAATCCAGTTAAGGCTTTCTCTGCTGTAAATGTTGTTTACCTTCTGACTATGAACTTCCGTCTCCCTCCAGGAGTAGGAAATCACTCTCCCAGGGGCACACCCTGGGTTTTGCAGGCCACAGCTTGCAGTCCGCTTGCCTCAGCTTTCCCAATATCTGGGATCATAAGCACATGTCATAAATGTGTGCCACCAGGACCGGATAAGACACAGGTGATTGTCTCTTTCGATTTATTTCTTTTATTGTATGTGTATGAGTATTTCGCCTGTATGCATGCCTGTATACCACATTAATGCCTGGTGCTCAAGAAAGTCAGAAGAGGGTGTTGGATCCCCCAGAAGTGGAGACGTGGATGATGGTGAGCCATTATGTGGGTGTTGAGAGGCGATCACCTGCCCTCCACAAGGTCTGCAAGTGCTCCTAACCGCGGAGCCACCTCTCCAGCCCCAGGATGTTTCTGATGAAGAACCAGATGTAGTTTTTGACATGACTGTGAGGGGCACAGCCTTTTTTGGAAACGAGGAAGCCTCCAATCTGTGAAAGTTCCTTCCTTGGTTCTTGGTAGAAGGGTAAAGTTCCTTCCTTGGTAGAAGAGTTGACAAAGCTGGGCCCATGTTTACTTTTGATTTCACTTAGGGCCCTGCCCACTTTTACTTTAGAAGCCAACTTGAGTCTGGGAAGATAGTAGGCTCAGGGCCAGTTATCAGTAGTCTTCACCACTGCCGCCTTCATCTCCAAACTGTCCTTACAGATCAAGGCACAGAGTGAAGGGAATCCCGGTCCTGGCAGTGACAGTCTGGAGCGACATGTTAAAATGCTGGATACAGAGAAGAGCTCGGCACTAAAAGCAGATTCTATACTCACGTGCCTTACTTCTGTTCTAGGTTCTACAGTTCAAGAGAGCTGGAGACAAATTACAGCTTGTCTGTGCTTTTCTATTCCTTTAATTGATATCCCACCCATTAAAAGTCTGTTATCTGTTATGCACTTGGTATGGTCTTAGACATTAAATCCATATATGGCTAAGTCAGAGCATGGTAGCCCACAACTTAATAGCAGCATTCATAAGGTGAACACAGGAGGATTGCAAGTTCAAGGCTAACCTGGGCTCCATCGTAAGAGTTTATCTCAAAGATAAATAAATAAATAGCTAGCTTCTGAGAGCCGATTATCTTTTAATTCTTGTAAGATTCATCTTGTACCTTCAAGTGACCTATTGGTGGGATTCTAAACCACTTCATGCTGTGAGGAAAAGGCCGAGCACAGAGTTAGAGATCAAGTGTGGCGGGAAAGAGACTTTAGGCCTGTTTGCTGGTGCATGCTCACCACAGACTTTATCGGGACAATGGGGATCAGTATTCAGGGACATTATTCTGCAGGACCATGACAAGACATTGTGATTTTGGCACCATCTTGCTCTAGAGGCCCGCTGTCTGACCTCTGGCGACTTGCACAGCAGTTCACGCAACTGAGTAGGGGCACTGGATTTTCTGATGTAAGTGGTTCCTAGCAGAAGTCATGGCAGAACACTTAGAACTACAAAGGAACTCTATATTCTTGTGTATTTTCTTTCTCCAGGGCAGCCGGTTTGTTGTTGTTTACGATTCAAATCACTCCCCTTATTTATCGGAAACATCAGACTCGCACAGCTCATAAAGTCTCCGAGAGACTCTGGAAATTCAGGCTGTTGGTGAAATTGCAATGAATTCCATTATGATAAAAACCCCTGCATAACAAAACTGTCAGCTCTTCTCCGGCAGCTGGGAACTCAGCTACTGCACAAAGTTCCTGGGAATGCCATTTGATCTGCTTGTTAAAGAAAACCTTAGCTGGAAATAATGACACACACCTGTAATCCTAGCACCTGGGAAGCTGAGGCAGGAGGATTGCCCACACTGTGAGGCTAGCCTGGACTATTTAAGATAACTTAGGTTCTCGGTCTTGAAAAATGACCCTGTCCCACCAACAGCAACCAACGAAACGACAACAGAAGGAGGAGGAGGAGGAAGAAGAAGAAGAGAAAGAAGAAAGAAAGGAAAAGGAAAAAGGAAGAAAAGGAAACTGAGGTTGTGCTAGGAGGAGGGTGGGATGCTCTTGGAGAGGACGCCAAGCAGAAGGCATCATTTTCCTCTCACTCTGCGAGGCTCCTTCGCTGATAATAGTTGTCAACACTCTAACCACACAGTGTGCTATCCTTCACCAGGCAGGATTCCGATTACCTTACGTATAGATGCTGGCAGGGCGGTTGAGCATTAGGGAGGGTTTCTGTAGACATGGTTCCAAGGCTCCTTCGCAACCACAGTAGGGAAGCCAAGACAGTGTTTCTCTCTGGTGGGTGAGACTTCTCACACAGCCAAGTGAGTGTCCCTTATATTCTAAGGAGCGCCACAGACTGCCAGACTGAGGTGTGGCTCAGGTTTGAGAAACCAAAACTGACCAAAAAAATAAAAGCCTGCCTATGAATGGGAGGAACAGCAATGTAGTCCACAGATGTCAAGCCTGAGAGAGCACCAGGGGGTGGGACTGTGATCCCACTCAGTGACCGCCTAGAAAGAGCAAGCAACCTCAGCAGAACGAGGCAAGGGATTCATTTCTGCAGGTCCAGAACTGGAAGCCATCAGTGGGAGGGTAACGTGATCTTCCTGTACTAAAGGAAGAACTGGATGGTCAGCACCCACCCAATTGGCACTGGCGAGAAGCCAAGTTTTGACAAGCCTGTGAAAATAACAGGAGAGTGTGGAAGCGTGGCTATGGGCAAAAGCATCCTACCTGCAAGCCCTCGGAAACCATTCCATTTCCTTAGCTTTCTTCTTCCACTTCTTCCTGGGGGAGCTGGCCAGCTTAGGAAGGGGAGAAGTGCCTACATTACCCCCTTTCCCACTGGAGGGGATTTTTGTTATTAGCCTGTACCAGATATATTAATTACTGAGATGTCTGCATTTTTGACTAATGTAACCACAGACTCATTTAGTTCTTGAGAGTGGCCCCCAAAAGAAGAGGCCCTAATGCTTTCACTAATCAGGAGATAGGAAAGAGTTTACAGGCCAGCTCTGAACAGGGTCAGTGGGAAAGAATTTGACGGTTAATGAGTGTATCCATGTGGCTGGCTAAGTGCACCAGGCTTAAGGCATTCCATATCAGACTGTGAGCCTCTAAGTTCGCCCCTGGGTCTTTACCTGAATCCTAAGGAAGTGATATGCATCATGAAATCCCTTTTGGTGGCTGTATAATGATAATTTAGGATTTCCAACACAAATGTTGTAAGGATTTTGGATGAAAAGAACCGGATTCCTAAATGTAAGTTTTACTGTCTAATAAATACTGGTCCACAGAGGTCTCTTCATCTCTAATGGGCCCAGATTCGATGATTGTCAAGGTCTCCATCAGTCAGAAAATTATATTTCAAAGAAGGCTACAGAAAACCATACATCAAGGGCCGATATTTCAGGCCCTACTCTGTCAGACTCGGCTCTCACACTGGTATAGTTCTCTCAGTGTTTCCAAAAATGGGGTTCTGACAAGGACAGCAGTGTCTTCCTGCAGAGGCAGACATGTGACTAGGGCTGATGTGATTGCCATGGTGACAGTCTCCACATTGTATGCCAGGCATCACCTGGGAATCCCCACACACTGTCCCATAGTCCCCTGAGTGCTCATTGCTCTTGCTGCTCTGCTCCGGTGGGAGAGGCTGGGTTGCACAGCATTGACGGCTGGCGTTCCTAGGGAGAGCCTCAGCCAAAGAATGGATTCCAGGCTGTGAAGTTCACTGTAGCTCCATAGGCCCTGTTTGCTAAGAGTCCGCTGCTGCTGCAAAGAACACATGCCAAGAAAGTGTGAAGGGTTTTCATTTCAATCAATGCTTTCTTTGGACCTTTTAGCTTCATGTGTTTCATTTATGTAAGGCATTCATTATTGACTTGCTTTTTTAAAAACCACTCTAAAGCAGAGAGCTAAAGATGAAGAAGTTTATGGTGTGGTATTCTTTTCATCATAAATGGCTGCTTTTGAGGAATTTAACGAATTCTTATTCAGACTTTTTCAAAGTTCTAGCCAGGAGACATTTCAGTGGTAGGGTTTCATTTTCTTACTCTGTGTCCTGCTACCCAAGTACTCCATCTCTATCTGCCCTGAGGCCTCACCAGCAACTCCTGAATCCTGCCAGGAGTCTGATGCGGGCTCTCCTTTCTGCCATTGGCTGCTAAGCAGTTTACATATCAGCTCTGGATGCAGGCTCACTGAAAATATTCTCACCTTCTCTCTACCCCAAATAACTTGTTCTTCCCTGCAGTCCTCCCTCCTTATGGTTCTTTCTACCCTTTTCCACTTTTCGAAGATGAGGGCCCCGACTTTACATCCAAGCCTACCACTTGCTACTCTCCTCTCCCACTTCTCTCTTAATGATTTCTTAATCTTCCCTCATCCAAAGACAAGATTCTTACATCCTCAGCTTACAAATCCATTTCCTCTGCTCTAAAACTGCCTTCCATACCTCCGGTGTGGCTCACACTCCTGTTTCATCTCTCCCCTTTCCTGCATGGGAAATTTCTCAAAAGTGCAGGTTTTGAGTGCTAGAAGTCTGAACTCCATCTCCTCTGGTGAAACACTCCCTTGAAGAGCCCCAGGGAATGACCTTGCAGGCACTGGGTCCTGCTGACTGCTGCTGGCCTCCTACCCCACCTTTCTGTTCTTCAAACTCTCTGGCCAGTTATGCTTGGTTGTTGGTTGTGCACTTCTGTAGTCCTAACGTTTGGGAGACTAACTCCAGAGCTTCACAAGTTTGAGACTGGACTGGGCTATACAGTGCACCTTTGCCTAAGAAAGAAAAAGAAGGGAAGAGAAAGGAAGGAAAAAGTCTCACTGGTTCTTTCACTCCTGTGCTGTTCTGGGGGTCGCCTGAAGCTTTGCATGGGTATTGGTGATCTGAGCTTGGGTCCTCACATTTGTGTGGCAAGCATTTACTTACTGAGTCATCTTCCCAACATTCCCAGCCATCTTTTGATGACTCCTTGGATTGTTTCCATCTCTCGGTGAGTTGAATAATACTATTGTACGTAATAATGTTCATGTTCTTTTGTGGGTAGGTGTATTTATTTCTTTTAGGGACATGCTGTTTCTACAGTGATTCCACATTTAATTTCCAGAGAAACTGCCTATGTCTTTTCCAACATGGCTATACCATCTTACAATAGCACTAGGAATTATGAGAATTTTTAATTTCTCCACATCCTCACTAACACTTGTGACTGTCTATTTAAAAAAAAAACACAGTCTATCCAAGCTGGAGAGATGGATCAATAGCTAAGAGCACCAGCTGCTTTTCCAGAGGACCCAGGTTCGGGACCTAGCACATCCACATGGTAGCTCACAACTGTCTATCACTCCAGGGGATCCACTGCCCTCTTCTGGCCTCCTTGGGCACCAGCCACACACATAGTACACAGACATACATGCAAACAAAACGTTCATACACATAAGAAAATTATCAAAAAATTAAAGCCCCAGGATACAAGATCAACTCCAAAAAATCAGTGGCCTTCCTATACACTAAGGATAAGGAAACAGAGAGGGAAGTTAGAGAAGCATCACCTTTCACGACAGCCACAAATAGCATAAAATATCTTGGGGTAACTCTGACCAAGGATGTAAAAGATCTATTTGACAAGAACTTTAAGTCTTTGAAGAAAGAAATTGAAGAGGACACCAGAAAATGGAAGGATCTCCCTTGCTCCTGGATTGGGAGGATCAACATAGTAAAAATGGCAATTCTACCAAAAGCAATCTATAGATTCAATGCAATCCCCATCAAAATTCCTCACAGATCTGGAGAAGACAATAATCAACTTTATATGGAAAAACAAAAAACC